GCCAAGCAATGCAGCCCCTGCTCGGCGGCGGCACAGAGCTCGTCGGGGCCTGCGGCGCTGCCCTATGGCTATTTCGGCAGCGGCTACTACCCGTGCGCCCGCATGGGCCCGCACCCCAACGCCATCAAGTCTTGCGCGCAGCCCGCCTCGGCCGCCGCCGCCGCCGCAGCCTTCGCGGACAAGTACATGGACACCGCCGGCCCCGCGGCAGAGGAGTTCAGCTCCCGCGCTAAGGAGTTCGCCTTCTACCACCAGGGCTACGCGGCCGGGCCTTACCACCACCATCAGCCCGTGCCTGGCTACCTGGATATGCCGGTGGTGCCGGGCCTCGGGGGTCCCGGCGAGTCGCGCCACGAGCCCCTGGGGCTTCCCATGGAAAGCTACCAGCCCTGGGCGCTGCCCAACGGCTGGAACGGCCAAATGTACTGCCCCAAAGAGCAGGCGCAGCCTCCCCACCTCTGGAAGTCCACTCTGCCCGGTAAATGGCGCCCCCTTCCCAGCCCGTCTTCCGGCTCTCTCCAGCTTCTCCTCCGCTCGTGCCCGGGGTCATCCGGGTGCCCCTCTGCTCTCTCCCTGGCCTGCCCTAGCGGCGCTGCACCTTGGGAGCCCGCCGATCCCAGCAGGTTGGCGCTGCCCGCACAGTCTTGAGTTGAGCTGGCCCCTGGCCCTCCATGGTTGAGGGGTGTCTGGGAGGGGGCTTGTGGGGACTGGGGCTAGCTTCATGCTCCTTCTGCGCCCCACCCTTCCCAGCCCTTGACACCAACTTAAGGATGAGAAATTGACCTGGAAACGGCTCACCAAACTGCCCCTATTAGTTCTCTGAAAAATGGCTTCAGTGTAGAAGCATCGAGTGTTGGGGCTTGGGGCATACAGAGAGGAGCCAGGCACTGAAGTGTTGTACCCAGAGCCGGGCGCCAAGGTGTGGGCCGCTAGGCCAGGAGATCGAGCAAAGCCGGCGCGCTGCGCCTACAGGATGGCTCGGTTGGGGTGTTCACTAGAACCCTAGGCGATTTCATTTCAGTGCAGAACTAACCACCCTCCCCACTGACCCTCCAGGCTTTGGCAGAAGGCCGGATTGTACAGCGCGTGGCAAAGAGCAGCCGGGCGCTGCAAGGCGGGTGGCTCAGATGGAGCTGTCGCCTGTGTCCTGCCCGGGGTCTGATCCCTATGTAACTTGCCTTCTCCCCTATCTTCCAGACGTGGTCTCCCATCCCTCGGATGCCAGCTCCTATAGGAGGGGGAGAAAGAAGCGCGTGCCTTACACCAAGGTGCAATTAAAAGAACTCGAACGGGAATACGCCACGAACAAATTCATTACCAAGGACAAACGGAGGCGGATATCAGCCACGACGAACCTCTCCGAGCGGCAGGTCACAATCTGGTTCCAGAACAGGAGGGTCAAAGAGAAAAAAGTCATCAACAAACTTAAAACCACTAGTTAATGGATTAAAAATGGAGCAAGAGGGCAGCTTGAAGAAATACTTCAGAACTCGTTGCTTTGCCCTGATAATGATAATAATGCTTAGTGATAAATGAAGAATGGGAAAGAGAAAGAGAGACACTGGTATTTTAATCTCCTAAGGGGGAATCTCTTTCTCTTTAGTGGAACCTACAGCTTTTAAAAAACTTTAAGAAACGGTAAAGACTGCCAGTTCTCCCGCCAACCCCACCAGACCGTTAAATGACAGACTCTAGAGTCAAACGTCAACCCCCAAATATGCAATTTCAGATAAGTTACACATTTACTGAGATCTTGTAAGTATTTATGTGACCGTTATATTTTAGGACACTGTGTTGGATGGTAATAATCTGAAAGTTGGTTACAAAAGCAAGAGGCTGTTACGAACAGCCTTGTCCTTCCTAGGTCGCCATTCCCTTTTGCATGTTAAGTGTCTGCTCAGGTAAATCTTAGTGAAATTCCTATGGTTGTTGTATGTTCTGTAAAGTGTTTCATGTATAGATTTAGAGGGAAAAAAGAGAAGGTACTAAAATAATGATCTTGGACTATTTACTATGAAGGGAGAAAGAGAGAAAGTTCTTCTGAGAATCATTTGTCTTGGTAGTAAATATAACCAGCTGAACCTTTGAGGCTACAAGAAAACCTCAGATTGGTAATGTCCTTCTGAGAATAATTTTTAATTGCTTATAACAAGCATATTTTGTGGCACTAGGGCTATATTTACTGCCCCGATATCAATTATTTTCCAAATGACTTGTTTGTTTGTTTGTTTGTTTTTTAATGTTGAAATAGTCAGATGATCCACAGGATTTGCTTTATGCCAGGTCTCCCAGGAGGTCCCACCTCAACATGATACACTTCGATTTGAACACAATTCAATTTGTCATTTAAATTGGCATTTCCCAAAATTTGCTAAACATTTTGCTGGATAAATTATTTTCCTTTTTTATCTTTTCAAAAAATCAGAACAGAAATCCCTTCCCCCCAAGACATTTAGAGGTCTACATTCTATATTTTAATCTATTAAGGGATTCGTATTTTTCCTTGTTTATTGTGTTATGAGACCACATTTAAAAGTTTAGGGATTCATCTTCACAGCACATTTTTAATCAAGCAGTTATTTCAACCAGCACATTCGTTTTGTTCTTATTCACTATAAAATGGTATCTTGTAAATAAAAACATTCAGCACACTGTGAAAAATGTATTTGTACACCTGCTTTTAAAAATATTCCTACTAAAAATGAAAAAAAAAATAGACTTGTAGATAGTGATATAGTGGTATTAACTGTAGTAATAAAATAGTCACTGCCATTAAAATCTGAAGGAAATACTCATTACTTTCCTATGCTAAACATGCACTGCACAGAAAGAAAAGGAGCAGGTTTGTCTTTTGCAAACCAAGGACCATTCTTTTCTGTTATTACACAGCTTTTTTTTTTTTTTTTTTTTTTTGGCTATAAATTGTTTTAAGAAAAGGGAGAAATCCCTCATAACTAAAATCCTAAAAACGATAAGTGCTTCAAGGAGATTAAAGTGTCAGATATTCTGAAAAAAGAGAAAAAAGAAAGGAGGAAGAGATAGTATAAATTCCCAGGCTCCTTGTGGAAAATGAAAACCAGTTGTTCAGTATCAGCAATGCCTAGGCTGTTGTATTTTAAAATCTGTTGTTGGGTCTGCATGTAACTAAAAGGGCAGGTTTTGATATTTGTTGAAATGACAGGACTAGGAAAGGCCTTAAACCTTGACCTTGATGAAAAAAGACAATTTGTGACCTTGACTTTTGACAGCTCATGAATTGGTCTGGGCTGGATTAGTAGATCAAGGGCGCCACCTTGCGTTGACGAGCCTCGTTGTAATTCTTCAGCTTCAAGGGAATCAAGAGCTTACCTCCTTGACTTGTTGTTTTAGAGATTTAGTACTTATTTCTTTGGCTCCAGATGGAGAAAATTTGAATATATGTAAATTATTCATGGGCCTGTATATATGTGAATATATATCATATGTGTGTATACATGTATACAGTTGCATATCAGTGCTAGTGTGTGCTTGTATATATATTTGTAGAATCTGTACAGATAAAATATCATTAATTGCTGATAACCCAAGATATTGTAATTTAATCTGATTTCTAGAGTTGAGGTACAAAATGTACTTTATGTGATGAAGTTTTGCTCCTTTTCTTTAATGGCCAAGTTGAATTTGTCTTTACAGTGGCTTGCTCTGCATCAAATTTCTGCAGATCTGCTTTAAAGCTGTACATTTTTGTTACAGTCTAAGCAATGTTCTTAAATAACCATTCTTTCCTGGCCCTCACCCTCCGAGGTGGTCTACCCCTCTAATTAGAGCTATCAAGGAGTCTTTACGGCAAATAAAAAGTTTCAGATGCCTTGCTAACTCTAGAGTTCTAGAGTTACATTTCAGAAATTCAATGGAACCCACCTCTTGAGAGGTCAGTAAGGAGAACTAAATATCTTATATCTACAAAATGACCATAATATGGATGCAGAAGGAGAGTCATCCTGGATAGCTCACAGCTGACTGCTGCTCCAGGGTGGTGTGCAATCTTATATTGATGCTTTTGAATCTGCCGTTTGATTTGTGGGAGAAATAAGTATGTTTAGTATTAACAACCACCATCAAAACTATAATAATAATGGTAAATATTATATCTACTGTTGACCCCTAACAACATGTCAGGTGCTGTGTTCAGAGTCATAAATAATACATGTGTATGTTTATATATCTAATATACACACAGGGTAATGTATTTTTGTCAAGTCCATACTATGCACATATATATTAAAATGTTGGTGCAAACAGTACCCTTGGGAGGCAGAATTTTGAGATGCAAGATAATTTTATCTTTATGTTAGAGGAAATTAATAGTGAACGGAAGAACCAGATTCATCACTTTAAGAAAAAGAAATTGGTCGGTTACAAACTTGGCTGATGGAAACCTCTTCAACCATGCCTGAAGACTTAGAGCTTCTTTGTAGATGGAGAATTATGGAAAGAATCACTAAAGCTGTCTCAAAAACAGGATGGTCTTGTGAAGTGCAATCATATTTTGCTGCCCAAGGATATTCACTCCACTTATGGAAACAAATGAAAATGCTGCTTCAGACCCACCTCCCCGTATCTTGCTCCACAGCACTCCATTTCTAGAAGAGCTGCCATCAAGCCAAAGTGACAACCCTCTCCCAAAATGTTTAAAGCGGTGGAAAATCCCCTCAAAGCTGTATCAAACTGTGTGTTTATGAACAGCTCCAAAGGGGACTCTTCTGTTCATGGGGATATTTTTTTTTTTAGATGTAAGAAATATTCTTACAGGCCTAGGAAGGAGGCCAACAGCAGCTCTGCAGCCGGAATACCGCCTCTTTTGAAAGCCATCACCACTGCAGGAACCCTGGGTAAAGTAGTAGCCTTCTTTTCTCTCTCTCTGGTTTTTGAAACTGTAATGACAGAAGATATTTCAGGGTTTTAAAAATCCAGTTGTAATATGGTTGCTGATGGTGTTAATCTTACCTATATTATTTAAAATTTCCATGGATCTACTAGACAACCTGAGGTGGGCATGGATTGTGATGGCTCCCTAATGTCCAAATAGGAATCGGCCTAAAACCTTTGGAAAAAAGACATCCAGGAAGACACTAGCCACCTCTTTAAAAATAGGAATAATAATGTCAGACACTGATCTATGGATAGGGTTGTTGAAAACTTGATTCACATATTTTTTTCTAAAAATAAAACTCCTGAATAATAATAATAATATATATATATATGTATATATAAAATATGGGACTTTAAAAAAAACTCAGCTTTTCCCATCTGCTCTTAATACTGTCAGATTTATTAAGTTATTTTTAAGTGGCTGATTGTAAAATGTCACTATGCATTTCATTACTATCTATGCCTGATATAGAGCTAAAGCCAATCATTTAAATTTTCAACAAAAGGGAACAAAATTCAAAGAAAGAAGAAAAAAGAAAAGTATTCATTTTTAAAAAACAAACCTAATTGAAATAATTTCTTAAAAATTCACCAGGAGGCAGTGAAATTCAGCTGAAGGTAATACATTCGCGTGCGGGTAGTTAACGACACCGATTTCACTGCATAACATGTATGTGCAGATGACACTCTGCTTCGTGTGTTTGGAGGGTTTGGTGAAGATGTGTGTGTCTCGCTTCCTCCCCGCGAATTCCCTAGTTGGGGAGTGGAGACCGAGGTTGCCCGGGACTGCTAATTCCCAGGCCCGGTGGGTTCAGAGGCGCCCTTCTGGACTTGCGGACCTCTACGGAGGAGACGCTGGGGGCTTGCTGATTTATGCGCATTCCTTTAAACTTGATCGAATGCGTGTCAGCAGCCCGAGACCTGGAGAATCAGAGAAATGTGCAACGAGTTGCTCACATCCCATTTTTCATAAGCAAAAATATAGCGTTATCCAAAAGGCCTGGTGAGATTTATGCCTAGGTTTTCGGACAGGCACACTAATTAAGTTTTCGTCTACTGGGCCGCTGGGTAAATGTAGCCAGCTTCATTCTTTATGAAAACACCCACTCAGTCCTGCGCATCTACCTAGCACCGGCCAATGCTGAGAGGTGCTTGCTATTTTTAATTTTATTTTAAGGGGGGCGGGGGGGACGGGGGAGACGCTGGCGCAGAAAAATTGCTCCGTGAAAGCAGCCAAGGCCTTGCCACAGTTGATTTCATCCCTGCCCGGCTCTGTCGCGCCGCCGAAGAGCTGGAGGCACCGGGCAGAAATCACTACAACGGCGTGTCTGAGATTTTCAAACCTTTGCGGGCGGTCGTGCTGTGGAGCGGGGCCTGCCCCACGTGCGGCGCTGCGGACGAGTGGGGAAAGCGCGGCTGTGGACTCAGAGAGCCGCCTGATGCCTCGCCCCTCGGGGACACAGACGCGGCCCCAAACCCTCCACGCTTCTACAGAAACCCCCTACTCAAAATGGAGGCTCAAGTCCTTATAGGGTCAGCCTCGCTCGGACGGCTCCCGGGCTGTGATAGGGTCTGACCAATGAACATGCTCCAGGAAGAGACTGACTGAGCATGTGCAAGACTTAATGTTGCATAACTGGGAACCATCTCCTTAATTGAATATTCATTAGATAGATGCTGAATCCCAGCCAAAGGCAGAGTCATTGCTCACTTTCCCAGAGGCAACCCATACTTCACTGGCTGAGGTGTGTGTATTTCACTTTGTACCAAACTTACCTTCCACAAGTGGTTGCTCACTCTTGAGCCAGCCTGCATCCTGCACTGAACTTTAAGTATGTATTTATTGCTTTCATGTTAAACTTGGTGTGGGCCCTGTTCAGTCTCTGGAGCTACGCCATACTCTCTGCGGAACCTGTATTTCTTATCTGTTAAATTAAACTTGTTCTCACTTTCTAATGTGACTCAGCCCTTGAGTTCTTTCCTGTGGGGGAGTCAAGAACTTGGTAAGAAGACAGGGTTGGTTGAGACCAACTGTCGGGCCCCCTGGACCCTACCTCCAACATGATTACCGATTTGAAACTTTTTCTTATTTTTTATATAGATGTTTACAAGTATAAACTTTCCTCTAAGCACTGCATAAGACCTGCATTCTATACATTTTGATATGTTGTGCTTCAAAAAAAAAAGAAATCACTCGGCGGGCCCCGGAGCGCCGGGGACCCGCGCGGGTGAGTCGCCCCGCAGCTGTAGATTGACGTCACCGCAGACCTCCTGGGGCCTTGGCGGGGCTCGCTGGGCGCTATTTGACGAGGACCAGCCGATTGAAGCGAATGTTCAGTGCGGGTGCCCCCTTCTCCGCCCCGCCCCGCCCTCCCCAAGAGAATAATTGGGTATTTAATCTCTCCTGGTCTTAATTCTTGGCAGCGTGGAAGGTGGTTTGCAACGGGAAATAAAACTTGACAGGAGCATTTTCTCTAAAAGGGGTTTTGAGACGGGCTGAAAAGAAACCCTGTTTTTCTCTACCAAATACTTCCGCTCTCTGAGCCCGGAGCTGAGGGCACCCAGACTAGCACCCAGGCGCTGGCCGAGGGCGGCTGCGGTCAGGCGAGAGAAGAGGACTCTGGAGAGGGCCTTGGACTGCTGGGCTTCGGTTCCAAGCCTTCCGGCCTGGGGGGTTGAGGACAGGAACTCTCAAGGGAGGTGGCGAGAGCAGCGCTGGGGGCTTTGCTTCCCGGCCGCGGGCCTGCGGGCAGTGCACAAAATGGAGAGGGGACTGGGGGTGAGC